CCACCCTCACCGCCGCCCTCGAGCCGACCCTCATTCCGAAGCTGCTGCTGGTGTTGACCATCTTCTACTACCTCTTTATCGTCCTCCTCAAGGGCTTCACCTTCTTCCTCAAGGCGTCCTTCCGCCTTCTCATCTGCTCGCTCATCGTCTCCATTCTCCTCAACGCCGTCGTCTCGCTGGTGGAGGAGACGCCCGATAACATGGCCGAGTTTGAGACCAGCACCACCTTCATGCCCAAGCACCAGTACTGATTCGGGCCTCTACAGACAACAACACTGTTTACCACCATCTCTCTTTGTCAACTAACCTCGGATCTCTCTTTTCTCTAATTTTGCTTAATTTTTCCCTGTCTCTTCATTTTCCTTCCGCTGAGCCGACCGATTTTTTTGCTTCACCTGTGGAGATAACGGTAAATAAAGAATACAAGAAGGCACAAATAACACCACCAACCTGATAATTAGCGTCCTGTTACTGTTTGTTTTGTTTTGTAAAAAACACATCTTTATCTTTACATAACCCACACTTTCTTTCTCTCTTTCTCTCTGAATTGTAATTTGTAAAATGAGTTACCTGTATATCAATAAAGAATATTCCTTATACGTTGTCAGTTGTTATTTGTGCAAGGGGAAATAGTAATGAGGTAAATTAGAACCCAAAGAGTTTCGAAATGATGAGTCATTTTGTTCATTAGGTTCTATTTGAATTTGGTTTCTAAATGAAAAATGAACCCGAAATGAGAGATTTAAAAAAGAGTTCAAAGATAATTTTAGCGATCAAAGGGGAGAAGAAACTTTCAGGAACTNTAAAAAACACATCTTTATCTTTACATAACCCACACTTTCTTTCTCTCTTTCTCTCTGAATTGTAATTTGTAAAATGAGTTACCTGTATATCAATAAAGAATATTCCTTATACGTTGTCAGTTGTTATTTGTGCAAGGGGAAATAGTAATGAGGTAAATTAGAACCCAAAGAGTTTCGAAATGATGAGTCATTTTGTTCATTAGGTTCTATTTGAATTTGGTTTCTAAATGAAAACTGAACCCGAAATGAGAGATTTAAATAAGAGTTCAAAGATAATTTTAGCGATCAAAGGGGAAAAGAAACTTTCAGGAACCAGATAAGCTTAAAAAATGATAAAGTGGCCGCCGTAACAAGCAAAAAAGTTTTAAAAGTTGATTTATTCTCACATACAAAAAAAATTTTTTAAAAAGATGATTGAGTTTTGTAAATTAGCTTATGGGGAATCTAGCGACATTTTCTAAAAATGCGGGTTCTGCTGATAAGGGACTAGAATCCGATCTCAAAGATAGCCTTCTAATTTGTTTTAATTTGCTAAAATAGAACCTCATCGTNAAAAAATTTTTTAAAAAGATGATTGAGTTTTGTAAATTAGCTTATGGGGAGTCTAGCGACATTTTCTAAAAATGCGGGTTCTGCTGATAAGGGACTAGAATCCGATCTCAAAGATAGCCTTCTAATTTGCTAAAATAGAACCTCATCGCTTTTGCACGTGAATTGACTCATAATTTTCCGTTTTCGCGTAATCGTGACGTCAGAAACGCCATTTTCTCTGAAAAGAAATAAAAGGGGCGCCCTTTCGCTCTCACTTTTCACTCGATTGCGTGACTTTGCCGCCGCAAGTACTGCAAATTCTACTTCGCTTCTCATTCTCTCTCCACACTTTTCCCAAATCATTCCTTTTCCATTCCTTTTTTCCCATTCACTTCTCCATTCACCCACCCTCCCCTTCAATCCATCCATCCATTCATTCGTTCATCGATCGATTCAACGATGCCATCGAGAGACGCCCCCACCGAAAGCATCCTCCGAACGTTGGCCACCCTGGAGCCGACCATCGACGCTCTGCTGAAGTGCATCACACCAAAGTCGCCCATCGTCAGGGAGAAAATCGAACAGATGGAGAAGATGATCAGCTCCATTCCTCTCGAACTAGCGGCAACTGCCTCGAACTGGCACGCGAAGTTGGCCAACTGGTGGGTCGAGTTTGCCACGCAGCAGGCTGCCTCAGTGGGCGTCAAGGCTCCTCATCACTCGGCAGCAAACACCAGCGATTCATCTTCTTCCTCCTCCTCCTCCTCTTCCTCTGTCCTTGCTGCTCCCGTGGTGATGAAGAGTGTTCCCTCGCTGGCACCGCCGCCGCCGAAGAAGTGGTCATCAGCGCGTCAAGAGCCGCCGAAGGAGGTGGTGGCTGTTGCTGCAGCTCCAGCCTCAGTTGCTGTTCCACCACCACACCCACCACCAGCAGCAGCTGCTGCCCCTCTGGTCAATGGCAATGGAATAAAGCTTCAGGCCGCAGTGCTCCCTTCACCCTCGCCCACCTTCGAGGAGGTCTTCGAACCAGTGCCGGACAACTTCAAATGGGGCGTTTCGTTCCACTCACAGCGACAGGCTGCTGCTAGCGCTGCCGCTGTCGCCCGACCAGCCCAACCGGCGCAGCCTGTTCAGCCTGCTCAACCACCAGCACCAGCACCAGCCCCTGCACCAGCTCCGGCAGCGACCGGGGTTGCCAATGGCCCCAACCACCACCCAATGGCGGTCAATGGCGACCTCTATGAACCTCGACCGAGTGGCACCGCCAACACCTCCTCAACAGCCACTGCCGTCACTGCAGATCAGCCGGAGCAGATCATCGAGCCAGCGGGCGACGACTTTGACTGGGCGTCTTCTCCGGTGAACCCCATGCGGCCGAATCCCTTCGCCCAGCGTCGTCAGCCACCGCCTCCCGCCTGCCATGGCAACATGCAGATGAATCGATTCCGCCGACCGGCCCGACCTGCCTACAACTGGGACTAACCACTTCGCCAAAAAATGTGATCCGTGTTCTAAATGGCATGATTTCGAAATGACGAGCAAGAGGCACACCACAACACGCCACCTACTCAGAGCGACGACCACTAATAGGAAAAATTAGTTTATGATGTAAAAACGAAAATGAGGGTATACAACAAGTAGACTAACTGCTATACAGACTACATGTACAAATACTAATGGAGCTGACCAATAAACAATTAGAGGGCGAAAAAGGCTATTCCCGCGTCATTTTTTCAAGGCCGCGCTGCTTCGGCTTACTAGCTTACTCACTTCTTCTCCACCACCGCAGCCACCACTTTCTTCGCCGACTTTGCCTTTATCACCTCCTGCTGTTCGCCCTTGGGCGCGGGCAGCTCGGCATTGAGCAGCGCCTCGTCCACCTTGATGTAGAGATTGGGGTCCCACTGGTTGATCTGCTCCGGGGTGCCGTCCTTGGTCGTCCGGCGGTAGTGCGTCTGCTTGACGTGCTTCAGCGAGCCGAACTTCTCGTAGCCGCGGTAGGTGCAGGCCGTCCAGGTGCAGTAGTACGGCTGAATGGACAGGTGGCGGCGGATGTGGGTGACGTAATCGGCCATGCGATGCACCACCTTGCTGCAGCCCTCCTGGGGACACTGAATGACGCGCTTCGGGGTGGTGGTGCTGCTGCTGGCGGTGCTGCGTTTCGTCGAGGTGGTGGTCGCGGTGGTGGTCGTCGCCGTGGTGGTGCTAGTCGCCTTGCTCATCTGCCGTCCTTTGCTGCCCGGGGTCGTCATGGTGGTGGACTTGGTCGACTGGCTGGCTGCGGTTAGGTCAGTGTCATCGCTCTTGGCACGTTTAGTGAATCGAGTCGTGAAAATTGGAGAGGTGTTTTCCTGCTCCTCCCCCTCCTCCTCCAGAGTATCGCGAGATCGCTTTCCGCTGAAGAACTTCGTCTCCTTGACCGAGCCGTTGTTGTAGCACACTTTCACTGTGACCGTGCGCCCAGCACTTCCATTACGGCTGGCGGGTGAGCCACCACCACCAGCCACTACTTCTTCCTTTTTCACGGTGGCGTGGCGGTTCTTGAAGAACTTCACCTTGCTTGAAGAGCCATCCTTGCCCCCCGTCTTCTTGTCCGGCTCCAGCGGGTTTCCAAGTTTCACTATATTGTTGTTGACGTTCTCATTGGAGCCGCCGCCGTTGCCGATAGAGTCGAGAGTTTCAATATTTGAAGTGAGCAGGTTTCCATAGTGAGTAGCCACGACAGCCGCTGAAGCAGTCTGATTGCCGCTGCTGCTGTTGTTGTAGTTGTTGTTGTGGGCGGATGAGCCCGAATTGACGGCGAAAACCGAGCTGGCCATGGGAGAGCGTACGTCGAACTGAGGTGGCAACAGTTGGTGTTGCAAAGTTGGAGTTGACAGACGAGACAAAGGCGACTCGGACGGTTGAAAGGCGATGAGCAGCTGCTGCACCTGGCGGCCGACTCCGCGCATCAGATCCTCCAGCAAAGTGTCAACAGTGGCGTACAGCTGGCGCCTCATGTCACCCTTTCGTGATTCCAGAAAACTGTCCACGATGGAGCAAATCACCTCGGGGTTGACCATGGCTACGAAAAAAGAGAGATAGACTGGCCTGAGCAAATGAAACGTGTACGTGTGGGTTGTAAAATGATGTTTGTAAAGCAAAGGCTCTTTATTTTGAAAAAATCCTAAAGTTCTACTTTGTCTTCTTTAGTTCTAAAATCCGAACTCTACTTCCCTACACCGTTGAAGAATTCTGATGAAGCAGGTCAGTACCACCACCACCAGCCGAACTGCTGCCCCCACTGTACGACTCAGTCTGAAGCAGTATGACAACGTAGGACAAAACAAATCCGAGCACGGCGAGAATGGCCGACTGTTTGACGGCGTAGGTGCTGTAGAAGACGACGCGGAACTTGCCCTTCAGTCGGCGGACCTCATTGAAGGCCATCCAAGTGGCCAGGTCCCACTCGGGCACTGCCTCGTAGCAGGTGCGCACCAGGTCGCGGTAGGCGGTGGTGACCAGACTGCCGCTCGAGCAGATGATCAACAGGCGAATGAAGCTGACCAGCGCGTAGACGAAGATGTAGCCTATCAACTGGTTGCCGACGCTGCCACTGCTCTGGCCCTGGTTGATCATCAGGTAGCAGCTGGAGGAGACGAGGAGGAAGGTGATGGACACCAGGACGACGGTGATGCTAAGCGCAAAGTGGCCCATCACCGTGGAGAAGTGCTCGCTCAGGGCGCTCAGGCGGCCTTTCACCTTCACCAGGGCCACCTCGTCTAGCTCCACTGAAAAAAGCGATGATGCAGATAAAACTCCAACACCACCCATTCCACCAACCCACTTACCCTTCTTGATCGTCTCTCGAAGCACCTGAACGTGTCGGCGAAAGAGCATCATCGTGTAGAGGAAGAGCATCGGCGTCAGCGAGGAGATCAGATCGTTGACGTAGTGCACCGCACCGACGATGAAGAGCTTCAGCACTATGAGCCGCGTCTCCAGCGGCAGCTGGGGCTGGTAGCCGAAGGCCCAGGCGACCACCAGGACGATCTTCTCCCGACTGAAGGTGGCCACGCCCACCAGGTAGACGGCGGTGAGCAGGGCGAAGAGGTAGCGAAAGAGGCGCCGGGCGAGCAGATCGTTATCATGTCCATCGAATCCTCGAACGGGCGGAACGGCGACCAGAGCGGCGAGCAGTCGTCCGCCGGAGAGGAGGCCGCAGTGCAGGTAGACGATGGTCATCTCGCTGAGGTAGATGAACATCACCGACTGCATGATGACGCGCAGAATCGGCTTCAGGTCGGCGAACTCTGCGTCGTACTGCTGCATGCTGAAGTAGCTCATCACCGTCTGGCCCTCCATTGCCTCTGAAGGGGTGGTGGTGGTGCCGTTTGGTGTGGCCTTTCTTACTGGCTCCCCACCGCCGTGGTCCGTCTTCAGCAGGAAATATGGGCCGTAAAATTTGAAAACACAGACAAAGAGGTTGAAGAGGATCAACAGAAGGCCCGGTAGGTTGAAGTTGGCTTCGCTGGTGTTTGTGCCTCTTCTTCTTATTCTCTGTGATCCTTTTGGGTCTTTTTCATTGCTGAAGGTGGTGCCTGCAAAGCTGTAGCCGAGGATTCTGCAAAAAAAATGGTTGTAAGTTGCTTTTATGTGAGGCATCTGATCTGAAAAACCTGTAGAACTGAACCATCATCTTGAGTGATTTTGGGCAGTTGTGGATGACGATGAAGAAGCGTTGCTGCTGTTGCATCTGTTTGTTGTTTCTAACATTTTCAACGAATATCGGCTGGAGTTTGTTTTGGTAAACGGGATTTTTGCTGTAAGGCTGCTGAAATCGGCGTGCCATTCTGTTCACTTTTAGCAAAATTGCATTTGCGCTTTCTGAAAGTGTCAAGAGCTTTCACCGAGTTACAAAGGTATGGCACATTTATTCGCACAGTTTTATTAGTAAGCAGGTAATTGATGATAATTAGGTTAATTTATTTCTATTTTAGCTACTTCATGTTACAACCTTGGCAATTATGGCAGAGGTCACACCGGAAACCCCGCCCGAGTTATAAGAACAACTTTTTCTATGAAGTCTTTTTAGGTGAGTTATTGCCAAACTCCTGCGTTTGCAGCAGCACTACCACGTAGTTCAGGCTAAAGGCAAGCACCGAGAGAAGTGCCGACTGTTTGATGCAGTAGGTCCCAGCGCCGATGACCACTTTGAATTGCTGTTTGAGCAGCTTGATCTCCCGAAAGTAAAGCCACTGATCGAGGGTCCAGTGACTGCCACTCCCAGCAGCACTCATCCTCTGAAAAAGCGCCCTGAGGAGCGAACTGTAGGCATTGGTGGCGGCATTGCCCGCCGAGCAGACCACACAAAGACGGGCAAAGGTGAGCACGGCAAAGTTGAAGACATAGGTCATCTGGTGCTCGCCCACAGAACTATCATCATTATTGTTGTCCTGGCGGACCATCAGAAAGCAGAAGGTGCCCACCATCGTCCAGATGTCCGTCACGATTGTCAACGTCAGCGGGAAGGCTTGGTTGCCGATGACCAGGTGAAAGTGCGCTGACAGCTGCTCAAGCTGCCCCTTCAGCCTGAGCAGAGCCGCCTCGTTCATGGCTGATTTCTGCTGCTGCTGCTGTTGAAAACCCCTTTTCAGCGCTCCAATGTGCCGCCTGAAGGTGGCCATGATGTAGAGAAAGAGAATCGGGGTTAGGCAGGCCACTGTGTGCAGGCTCAGGTGCAGTGTGGTGACGAAGGCCAGCGAGGCCAGCTCCTGCCACTGCTGCTGCGTCGGCCTAAAGCTGCCGCCGAAGCCGAGGTGCCAGCTGATGACCGCCCAGAAGAGGTGGCCGCTGTAGGCGTTCAGGCTGAAGGCGTTCAGAAGGAGGAGCAGGAGAAAGAGGTACCGAAAGAGTTTTAGCGCCAGCGAGCGACTTTCTCTCTCCTCTTGAAAGAAAGCGTTCTCTGGTGACGCTCTGGGCACGGCGGCCATCAGTCTTGCCAGTCGTCCTCCGAACAGTAGATTGTGCCCGTAGATGCCCACTGCGTGGGCGAGGTTGACGTACAGTGTGGAGCGCATCACAAACTGCAGTATGGGCTTCAGGTCGTCCACCGGGTGCTCGAATCGCTCCAGACTGGGCAGGGAAAGGTTGAAGGAGTGCTCTTCCCCTTTTCCAGAAGGGACCCTCAGCGGAAGAGTCACCTTCTGTTGGTTGGTGTGCAGTGTCTGGTAAATGGGAAGAAAGGCCACCTCTTTCATAATGTTGAGGATGTTGAAAGCGATGAAGAAGAGGCCTAGGGAAGAGGAGGAGGAGGAAGAAGAGGAAGTGGAGGAGTGTAATTGTGGTTGGCTTGATGCATTTTGGGCAGTCCTAAAGTTGGCGGCATTGTGGTTGTTGGCTGTTTGTTTGCTGGTTGCAAAGGTGACGCCGGAGAATGAGAAGCCAAAGATTCTGTCCAAACATCTTTAAGTTTTTGACACTTTTCTTTTTATTTCCTCTTACCTGTACACCTGTACAATTAGTTTCAAAGACGGTGGGCAGTCGCTCAGCTGGAAGGCAAAGATGTTTTTGTTTAGTTGGCTTTGTTGTTCAGTCCTCCTTGCCCCTTTCAACTTTTCTTGTTCTTTCTCAAGAAAATTGTGGTTTCCTCTGTAGCTGCTCATCATTGTTTCGCTCTAAAGTAGAAGACTCTGATCAACAAAAAAAAGATCAGCACCCCAAAAATGCTTGTTTATCAAGGTAAAGGTATTGATTAGGTAGACACCCATATTGGGTGAATTAATTTAATTGTCCCCCACACCATGTCACTGGCGCACATTTAAACACATTTAGACTGATTAATTTGCACTATTAAGTGAGGTTGTTGTTCTTGTTGATTGTGGGGAGTGAATCAATAACTTTTACGGTACACTGCTGTTTGCAGTGCCATTTGCTGCCGCCGTCCCGCTGCTGTACGACTCCGTCTGCAGGAGAATGACAATGTAGTTGAGGCTGAAGGCGCAGATGGTGAGAATGCTCGACTGCTGCACCGTGAACACCGAAAAGACGGAGACGGCGAACTCCGCTGGCGCCCGCTTGATGTCCAGGTAGGCCAGCCACTCCCCCAGCGTCCACTCCGCCTTGGCCTCGTAGACGGTACGCAGAAGGGAGGAGGCGGCCGCTCCGGGCAGATTGCCCGCACTGGCCACCACCACCAGACGAAGTAGGGCAAAAAGACCGATGTTGGCGACGAAGGTGATGGCGTACGGGCGAATGTTGCGATTGTTCGAGCGGATGATAAGGAAACAGGCTGAGCCTAAGATGAAGAAAAACGTTGTTAAAGATCGTTTGAGATAAAACCAGGTACCCCTTACCAATGAGCATGTAGCAGTTGGCAATCAGATCGAGCGTCAGTGGAACGGAGAAGAAGAGGACCGCCCGTTTGAAGGCCTCATTCAGGCGGTACAGACGCGTCTTTAACACTGTCAACTGGTGCTCGTCCAGCTCCGGCCCACCACCACTACCGTCGGCCGTTTCCCCGGTCATCGAATTGGCCGTCACCGTGGCCAGCAGCTCTGTCTGAAGTGCTTCAATGCTCCGCTTGAACATGATCATTGAGTAGAGGAAGAAGACGCTGATCATCGAAAGGATGAGGTAATGGCCGGTGGTGGCCAGCAATTCGGCGACCAGGTTCACCAGCATCACCGGCCGCTTTACCGCCAGAAAATTTGGGTCGTAGTGCTGGCCACTTTCATTGTCCTCGAAGAAAAGCTTCAGCAGCTCCGACTGGTAGAGTGACATGGTGGCCAGTTTGATGGTGAGGATGGCGCCCAGGGTGGCGCCCAGCAGGCGGACGGCCAGCGACCGGGAGTCATCGAGGTCGGCAAAGTCGCCGATGCCGACCAGGTGGTGGAGGAGGGCGCCGCCGAACAGCAGATTGTACGCCACCGAGAAGAAACCGTTGAACATGAAGACGTACATTAGCCACTCCATGATCAGCCGCAGAATGGGCTTCAGTTGGCTCATGTCGCTGTTCTCATCGGAAGATGATGCTTTGCCATTTGAACTGCCACCCCCACCACTGATGCCCTGAATGATGGTG